AGTGTAAACATGCACATTCCTATGTCTGCTTTCCCACACATTCTGGATAGATTCTTCTGGCCAAGTTGTAATAAGACTCGAGTGAAGTGAAGATCAAAAACAAAATTTCAGACACAATTCTGTCTGTCGTCTTCTTCTGCGTCTGACTCTGTACGCTGTGATTTAGCGCGCGCATGGCCCAGGCCATGATGTAGGATCATACATGTTTGATGTAGGATCAAATTTTGCCATCTGTGCGGGGTAAGAGTATGCTAGCGCGGATTATCGTTTTGCGCAACTCGCGTCGTTTCTCGAGCAAACGAGGTTATTTCCACACTGATTCAACATGGTGCGGATTTTCTTCGTCTAGTAGGCGCGGCTATAGTTGTAGCTGAGTATTTATCGTCATTTAATATTGCACCTAAATCTGTTACATTAATATGCCAATATATACATCATTGAGAAGAAATGGCGAATATAGGCCGCACCCTTTAGTAGTAATGCACTGTTTGATATTGAATATAGACTGGAATAGAAACGAGCTATTTAGACTTTCACGCAACGACTAAACAATGATCCAACAGTGAGCAGAATTTAACAAAAACGGAAACAGGTATGCGTGTACCATAATTACTTTTAATTTAATATAAGATTTTTGTTGAGTTGAGACGCGAATTTGAGAGATGAGCAAAGTTTCGGTAATGATGTGGATTTGTTGACATCTTTGTTTTTCTCGGCGTTACAGCTTGGGTAAGTATTTCGACAGACACTTCCAGGGCCAAAAGCAGAAACGAGTATTTAGCTTAGGTAGAATAAGTTTTATGGTGTCTAATATAATAGTAGATAGTTCTCCTTATAAACGTACCATCTTCCACGATAGTCTCCCGCTCCGTAGATATCAATATATACGTGTATGAATAACAGGGTTAATTTTTACTCAACCGTGCAAGTTTGAAGCGTACCGCTGACGTACGTTTCGCCTCCTGCCAGGAGGCTTTCTCAAAACAAACTAATGTTAATCAGTTTTGACCACCAGATGGTGTGGTGGTCAATAGCTTAGTCCACACGTGACTAAGCCTGTATCCCCCCTCTTCCCGGTTGATGTTCGCGGTCTTGCGGATCCAGATGGCCTCCTTAATCCAACGCCTGATTTTGATTGGCTTGCGATCGATGATCTTCGAATTCTCCCAATCGATGGTGTGATTATCCTTCGCTACGTAGTCAGTGATCGCGGATTTGGTGATTTCGGTAGCCGACTGTTTTCGTTGGGCCCTTGTGAACGATTTGGGTGCTACGGTGTCTACGTCCTGTTTGTGTTCTTTTAGGCGGGTTTCAAATTTTCGGCCGGTTTCTCCAATGTAACTTTTTCAGGTATCTTGTAAACACAGTCCGTAATGTTGTGCATATCTGTTCTGTCCTTAGGGTGTACCAAAAACCGTTTTGAAGTCTCAAACGGTCTCACTATTAAAGCCACACCTGCATTTTTTAGATGACGCTAAACTACGTCCGTGACGCCTCTGACATAGGGTAGGACGATCATCGCCTTCGGTTTCTCCGTGGATTAGGCCACAAACAATCATTGCGAGCATGCTGTAGTGAGATGTACCTAGCCGATGCTATGAACCACTCATAAGTCTCATTCACATCGTGACCTGAACTGTACAGCCTCGAGGTTTTTAGGTAAGGGACAGTAATAGTATATCCGTATGGCAAGTCAGATGTCACTGTCGAAATTGTCATGGCTTGGTTTTCGTACGCATGCAATGTTGTTTCTAGTTCGAGAAGAAACCCTGTATTAGGATGTACATACGATCAGGAGTGAATAATAATAGATCTATTATTATTCACTCCTGATACGATGCTTTCAAAGACTATATTAAACCTTGCTTGTAAATTTGTTACAAGAATACAAAAGCAAACTCCGCAATAACAACCCTAGAAATGGAACTGCAAAGCGACGCTAACAGACCTCTCCAGGCTGTTCTACTAATACCTAACAAACAACCTAAATGTAACCGTAATAATTACAGGCTTGAGTGGAACACAGGAAGCAGCCGAATATGGCACGCGGGAGTGGTGGAAAATGCCGCCACATTAGTGTAAATCAAGCCAGGGGCTGGTAGAAATGCTTGCGAACCAGCAGACCCACTCTAGGTCAGCGAGCGCTCGTTGGGGTTGAGCGTTTGCCCGAGGCAGGCGCTATCGCCCGTCACGCTCGCAAGCCAAACGTGCTATAACATCCCGAACCTGCTTGCCTGGCCGTCGTCGCACGGGAGTTACCTTGGCAACGACTCCTCTCGCTCGGTTTTGAGCAAGTTTTGAGATTAGATCGTTACAGATGCTTTCCCCGCGCCTGCATCGAGACAGGTGACCTTGGACGTGCCATCGCCACGCCGCCTACAACATCCCGCCACGCCACGGCACGGCCCCACGATCTGCTGATCCGTAATGACTTAAACACGGACCTCGAGGGTAACTGGTCGCAGAACCCACCTAGCGTGCAATGCGACACAACCTCACCAGCACCGGGGTGCTTCATGGGCGAGCGTGAGCAGTGAGAGCTGGTAGGCAGATGCATAATAGATGTATCTTGGTTAATTTTTACTCCACCGTGTTGATCAAAACGTACTGCTGACGTTTCGCCTCCTATCGGGGAGCTTTCTCAAAGCTGACATGAGCTTTAGCACGTCAGCTTTGAGAAAGCCTTCCGATAGGAGGCGAAACGTCAGCAGTACGTTTTGATCAACACGGTTGAGTTAAAATTAACCAAGATAGATCTATTATCTACCAACCGAATGAACTTATTTAATGGGGGAGATGGATAAGCACTCACCTGAAGCTGCCATAGATGATGAGCATGATCGAGATGAAGAAGGTCGAGATGCGGGAGGAGTCCATCAGGGAGTACGCCCTGCAAAACAACAAAAGCACGGCACGTTACACGCGTGGTCGACGCATTACAACGAGAAAACGCATATTCATACCCTTGGTGACAACTTCACGCAAGTCATCAAAAAATGTTAATTACATTTTCAACGACCCTCGTTCAGCTTGCCCACATTGAGAACTTAAAACAAGAGTTAACAAGAGTTAACAAGAGCATGGTCTCATTGTTTAAAACACCAAATATGTGAACAGAGCGTTGTCCTATTGTTTACAATCTCAAACACTTTGCCTGGGCGTATCAGCAAGACACCACAAAGCAACCACACAACATTTGTCCTTCTAGAGGTTACTACAAAGTGAATGACCTGTAAGATATGCAAATGTGAGAAAAACACAGCCATACGATCAGTTGTACAGAGTTGACCATTAAGTTGACCATCAAGTTGCTCAAGTTTCCCCTGCCAAGCACATAGCACACACACAGACATTATCACCCGTAAATATACTCACACGCTCTCCAGACACACTGGCAGCAGATACGTATCATTCACGTTATATTTACACGAGGGATCGATCCTTATGTTCATATTCGTAAAAATCGTCACGTTGTAGGCTAATTTCGCCTTGATGTCCCACATGGTGACATTGTAGGCCGTCATAGTGACTAGATGGCTGTATCACGAAATGCTTCTAGTAAAGCTTTGCTGTCCTTTGTCTCACGCGTGTGTAACAGATACACGCGAGCGGCCCCGTACGCACGTGGAGGGAAGAGACAACAGAGCGCTATCACAGCTGGCCAGCGTTGACGGCGTGAGACAATCGCCACGGCTCTCACGAAGACGCGAGGTGCGAACTCACGAGGTGCGCAGGCGAGAACACCGGTGTTACCGGCTCTCCACTGCTGATGCACACAGCTGGGCTCTCTCTCTCTCTCTCTCTCTCTCTCTCTCTCTCTCTCTCTCTCCTTCGCTCTCCTTCGTTCTCCTTCGTTCTCCGCATGCGAGCTCACGTGTGCGAGCACCAGCATTGGATGAGAGCATTGAGAGAGCCCGGCTAGAGCGAGTATGATAACATGGATCCTAGCTCACTCATGCAGAGAGACACTGGCTGCTGCTGACATACCTGCCTGCCACAAGAGCTCACCTATTTCACCTCCTCCGCGCTACGTTGGCCATGCTAATAGCCTGCGGACCGGTACTGTCGCGCAGGGTAGGGCAGGGTAGGGTGTATCTCACGTTATGCGGTGATGGATGGAGTCTAATCAGTAATGTAGACGGATCCGACGTCCTTGTGCACGAGGACAAACCCGAGGGTAGAAGAAAGTAATTCGGAACCCAATCGCTACAAGCGTTTTAACTCGGTTCTGCGGTGTTGCTGTTGGCCAATGAACGAACGGACTTACGGATGTGATAGGTTCGCTGTTGATTGCAAAATAATGGGAGACCACTTACAAAGCTCTCTGTCCTTTCTTCGAAAACGACCTCCAAAACTTTTAAGCACCACATAAAAATGACCAGCACGTATATGGCAAACAACAACCAGAGTCTTTTGTTTTTGGTTTGCTGTCGACTTCAACTGTCACACAATATCAGTCGTTGGTTCAACAAGCAGAAATGGTCTACAAGAAGTCTAGGTGTACGGGTGACTTTACTGCTCCGAAGATCACTAGCATTAATTTAATAGAAACGTTACCAGTGATTGGTCAACGTGCCATTAAATGCCATCAAACAATTTAAAGTAATTTTTTATCATATAAACACGTGTTTTGTGTTACAACACAGTAAAGTACTACTACTTAATTTTAAATAGCCACACTTTTTAATCAAAGATAGCAGGTTATATGTGGAATTACAATAATTGCTGAATAAATTGGACAACATAAGTTATTATACCTTTAGCGACAGCAGCATATTCTCAAGTATTCAATATCTGCCACTTAATTCTAGTCATTTAGTCCTGTCTGAGTTAACTAAAAAAACAATCATATCCAAGAACAGGAGTCCATAAAAAAATTCACCCCTGCCAAGAATATGGGTTGATAGTTATCTACATAATCACAAATAATAAACCTATTGATAAGTAAGCAGAGCATGAAATTATAAACCTGCGCTCATTCTCTGCTGGATCCGGTATGTTTGCGCACTGACAATGCTGACGGAACTATGCAGGCCATTGCCCCATTAAGAATAGCTCACGAATCATCATTATATCGTAGCATAGACACGCCTTTGCGCCGCTGTGCCACGACAACATTAAATCACAAATTTCCCCAACAAGTGTGAGAGCAGAATTAGCATTCAGCGTGTCGTAACGACAATGACGATGTTGTTGTGTTGATCTTCTCATGAGAATAATTAAGGCAATGGAGCAGTTTGTTTAACCCGATGTTTATTACTCACGTTTGTTCGAGTTACTGCCGGTACATCAAACGGTGCATACGAAACACACGAAGCTGATCGCTTCTTAGTCTAGTGCCTTATAGATTTATCCCCACATTGCCTCCAAAAATCACGTGACTGAGGATATTATCTGAACCAGTATTTATCAACAAATTATCTATAGATAATCTATTAGCTATAGGTTTTTTGTGTCTACGCATTTGCCGCACGCACAGCAGAAGAAATCCTCGCCACATACAAAAGTAACAAGAGCCGCAGAGCGTCTGGGCTCATCTGAAGTCTGTTGCTATGGTTATAAACGTAACATTTAAGTCGTGCGTAGTCACACCTTTGTTAGTCACAGATATGCAGATACGCAGTTGCGTACACATCATTTCAGCAACCTTCTGCATTCTGCATACCTCCCAAATCCCATTGGTTGATACAAATCACGTGCCTGAAACTCCTGTTTTATGGTGCACTAGCTGGGCTACCCGGCGATGCCCGGGATAAAGGAGAAAAGAGCTAGAATTTAGTCTGCCATGACGGCTGTACTGACCTTATTCTGATTTTATAAATCTGTGCCAAGAATTTCACTTCTGTTCAGTTCTGCAGCGCTTCTTGGTACACAACATTCTTGGTCTTGCCATCTTCAGAGAGGATGTAGAAGTTGTCTGGGTTACTCACCCTGGAGCACCCCACATAGAGCTGGCCATGGGAGAACACGGGCTGACTGAGGTTGAGTCCAACGACCTTGAGGGACTGGCCCTGGGCCTTGTTGATGGACATGACAAAGCTCAGATTGACTGGAAACTGCAGCCTCTTGAAGTCAAATGGCAGGTCTGATGGGATGAGCGGGATCCTTGGGATGAAGACATTTTCGCCCTTGCCCTTGCCTATCATGATTTTGGCTTCGATGACTCTGGTCATGAGCTGCTTCACTGTGAGCCTTGTGCCGTTTCAGAGCTTGGGAGCATCCAGGTTGCGCATTAGCAATATGGGCGCACCGACCTTCAGCACCAAGTTGTGTGGTGGCAGACCTGAGGGCGCCAGGCTGTTGAGAAACTCGGTCGGATAGTGCACCACCTGGTGAGGATCAGGAATTGTGTCGATCGAGTAGCTCGTTGGGTCGCCAGGCAGTTGCTCCAGCAGCTTGGCGTTGATCTCATCCACGGCCAAATTCTTGGGAGCAAGGATGGCTCGCTCGCTCAGCCAGTCTTGGTCTTCGTAGCGGAGGTGGAGGTTTGGGAAGACTTTGGTCATCAGCTGGGTCATGTCCGCCGCTGTGTTGCCGAATGGCAGCTTGACTTGGCCATCGGCTGTGGTGGTGAGTCTGCCATTGCCGACCTCCAGCAGTTGCTGAGGGAAGCGGCCAGCTTCTTCATCGCCACTGAGCTGCACCCTCATGTTGGTTGCCGCCAGCACCAGAAGCTGCCCCCGCCACCAACCTGTGCATGTAGTCTCACGCGTCTATTCTTCCGAGAGAAGAATTCGTTTGCTCGCTTACTACGACATGTAGCGACGACTGTGGTCTTGCTCTGTATCTAATACGTATTTGTGAATGTATGTATGTTTGTCTGTTCTCGATGCATATCAATACGGAGCACTCTAGAAATGTCAAAGGTGTTCAGTAGGGGTAAATTGTGGTGATGAATGTCATGGGCACATTGGATTTGACCTCCGAGGTCATCTAAGCCAAAAAAAAACAGGGGAAACGGAAAAATATACTGTGTCCTGCAGCAACATTAAATAAACGCGCCCCTGCAGCAACATTAAATAAACGCGCCCCTGGAGCAACATTAAATAAACGCGCCCCTGGAGCAACATTAAATAAACGCGCCCCTGCAGCAACATTAAATAAACGCGCCCCTGCAGCAACATTAAATAAACGGGATTCAGTTTGCACTGACTAGCATTATTGTACAATGCGCGTTACATTGCGTTACTATACCTGCATTAGATAGATAGATAGATAGATAGATAGATAGATAGATAGATAGATATATAAATAGATAGATAGATAGATAGATAGATAGATAGATAGATAGATAGATAGATAGATAGATAGATAGATAGATAGATAGATAGAT